CACACCCTCCGGTCTGAGCAGCGCGTCACTGAATGTGTTGCCGGTGACGACGATGTTCAGCAACCCCACAGCGGCGTAAGCGTTGCCCAAAAGCAAGAGCACGGCACCGTCCCTCCACGTGCATCCATCTAACGTGACATTCACCACGTCGCCCGTCATCGCCCCAATCAGCACCGTCAGGCTCATGCCGCCCCCGCTGAACGTCACGTTGCGGTAGCACAGCCACGACAGCCCGCCGCCCACTGCATGCGCAATCGCGGGGTACTCCATGTCGCTGATGCACCCACCAACCGGCGGCGGTGGCGGAATGGGCCGCAGTGGCGGCGACGGCGGTGACGGCGGGCCAGCAGGCACAGGCGCCGGGACGCACACATCGCCGTGCCCTCCAGCAGCGCACTGGCACTTGCAGTCAATGACCGCCGTCGTCAGCGGAACAAAGCAGTCGCCGTCCTTCGTGCACTCCCCGCACACGGCAACCGTCGTCACGTTGGTGATGCCGTGAAGCTCCAGTTCAGCTGCCGTCGTCACTTCCCGTCCCGCGACCGTCAGGCACCCAGCAACGAACCGGTAGCCGGCGTCAGCCCGAAATAGCAAGGACACCGACAACCCCGTCGAGCCCATCCTGCAGCCCGTCAGCGTCACCACACTGCTGCCGTCAATGCTCACAAAAGCGGACCCAGTGTCGTCGAAAAACGCACCCACTCCCACGTCGTTGTCGCGCCAATCCAACCAGCTTGACCGCTGGACGGTCCACAATTCGTCTGCAACAATGGCGTTGGACACGGTGCCGCTGTTCCCCACCACGCGCAACACGCTGTGATCCAACACGCTGAATCGGGAGTGCTGATACAAAAGGCTTGTCCCGGAGAACATTGTGTTGTTGAGCAGCGCAAAAACAGAGTGATCGCGGACACTGAGGGTATTCACGCGGAACAGGTATGTGTAGCCATCGAAGCTGCAGTAACGCGTGTAAAGAGAGCTGCCACGCACCAGCGTCAGCGTCCCAATCGAGTAAAAACCAAACCCGCCACACCTCAATGCATGCGCATTGGCGTTGCTGACCAACAGCGTCGACGCAGTCAACTCAACTTCGTGCAGCATCACAACGCTCAGCTTGTTGTTCACTGTGCCCGGCAAATGAACCGCGGAGGACTGCACCGCGTCAACCTCCGTGACGGCGATGTCGCAGTGTTGCGGGAGGGCACGTATAAAAGCAACGGTGGAGGACCGCATCACCGTCTGGCTCACGCGGATCAGGACGCCGGCTGACTCGGCCGCCTCAGCTCCCCAAAAAACTGCAGCG